TGCACCTCCTGGGTTAGATGAAGGTCCTGGACTCTCTCTGCTTATATAAATTGACTCCCATATTGCTGGAGACAGAGAGAGACTAGTTCTTGAAAGAGTTAAACTAAATTAAAATGGGAACACCAGATGCAAATTAAAAAGGGTGGGGTCCGAAAGTGAGGAGGGTGATGACCAGGGATCTGGGTTTTCTGTTTCCCATGGAAGAATGGAGAAAAATGTGGATTTCCACCTTTACCTGAGGAAGATGCACGTTTCATTTTAACACAGAAACCTGTGGATATTGCAGTTTTGCAAAGAGCTCTCTGCAGGCTGATAGAGTTGCAGCCTGCAGTGGGCTGGGGGAGCAGGAGGAGGGCAGTCAGACAGGGGGCACCATGTGCATGTACATGCACATGGCCACCAGGTAGCCTGGAGAGCAGCTCCTGCAGGTAAGTCTGGCGGTGGAGGGGGAATTGAGGCCCCTATAAGGAGGGAGAGAGTAAGTTCAGCAGGGCTGGGGCTGCTGCCCAGCCAGGGGGTGTGTGGGGCTTGGGGGTTTGTGGCTGGAAGTGTGGCCGCAGGGCCCCAGTGGGGATTGGGACAGGGCCATGGGTGGGGCTGTATACGCACTCCTGAGGAGATGGGGGACCTGTGCCCTCCAGATCTGTGCACGGGGCAAGGCCATGGCAGGCTTTCCACTGTGGGCTTGGGCTCCCCGCCCTGCTGTCCCCCACAGCGGGGCCTGTGCAGCCCAGTGGGTGCAACCCAGCACTGCTGGGCAGAGCGGGGCCACACAGGGAAGCTCCTTGATGCTGCGAGCTCCGTGCTGCCCTGGTGACATTTCCCCTGCCCGTGTGGCAGCAGCAAAGGGCACAACCCCACACCGCTGCTCCCGCTCCAGCCGTGCGGGCAGGGGGCGTGTTGCCAGGGCAGCGCAGAGCTTGCAATGGCGAGGAGCTTCCCTGCCTGGCCCCACTCTGCCCTGCAGCGCTGGGTTGCTCCTGCTGGGCTGCAGAGGCCCTGGGGGAGGGCAGCAGGGCGGGGAGCCTGAGTCACAGCGAGCAGCCTGCCTCACGCACAGATCTGGGGGCACGGGAGCATCCCCTACCCAAGCCTGAGGGTGTGGGGGGAGTACAGACTCCATGCTCTGCTCTGCCTCCTGTGGGCAGCAGCCGGGGTTCGTCCGCTGCTGGGGGGTAGGGAGACTTGGGTCCCTGGCAGCTGGGGCAGGCAGGGACTGTGGGTGTACATATACATATAGTGGCCTTTTATTTTAATCACAGATTTTAGGGGTTTAATCGGAGAATTTGCAGTTTTTTTATCGGGGAAAACCCAGGTCTCTGGTGTTGACTACGTAATTAGGAAGCATAGTTTGGGAGCCTAGTGACTGTATCAAGGATAAGAAGGTTGAACTATTTGTTGGAGATGTAGCCAGAAGCAACTGAATGTACTGTTAAGTGTGGGTGAACACCGGGATCGTTTTATAGCGCTGATCTTGGGCACTAGCTACCTTGGAAGTCATTATAAACATGCCAGATTCACGGTGACAGTCCCCTGAGTATTGTCTTGTAGCAGAGAGAAAAGGGATTGGGTAATTCTGTAAATTGAACTGATCCAAGTAAGATGGGCAATGCACAAGTCTGAACCAAAGACGGGAAGTCCCTCCAACCTGCTCATTATGCAGTCACTAAGCCACCGATTTATAATTCTGTCGTCTTCCCTCCCTCTTTCCTGGGGATAGAAGTGACTCTTTTTTTCAGGGAAAGAGAATTTGGCTTTTCATTGGATTTCTCAGCTCAGGTGTATGGTGTTTTCACTGCCAAGTAGCTTGGCTCATAGCAGACAAAACTTTGTGGTTTTAGAAAAGTGTGCACAACAAAGGGTTCTTTCCCTGCTCTTGGAAGTAACCTTTGTTCCTCGTTAATGATTGTTCTGAATGGAGCCGGGTACAAGCCTTCCTGTAAACAAAGGCAGAGTTGTGGTGGCAGCATATTTTGTTAGCAGGTAACACGTAGATTTGAAACATCATGTTGGTCTATAACAATACCAAAGGGGGGAAAAAAAAATGGGAGCCTTCTAAGGTAATGACTGTGCTAGGCAAATCTTTCCCACTTTATCCCAGCCTTTTTTTTTTTTTTTTATAATATGGTAGTTTTGACTCTGCTCTATAACACTAAGTATGTCTCTGGGTTTGTTTCTTTTGGATTTTTTGGATGTATCATAATTTCTTATTTAAGTTAATCCCTTTTGCCTACCCTGCTCCGGAGGAGGTGACTTCTCAGTTCGTCTGACATCATCCTGCTCAGTTGGTAATGTCACTGAGGGCAGGAGGGAGGGAGAGTTTTAGATGAAGATTGGTTTCTTGCAGAAGCCTGCAGAAGGACATTTTGTGCCTGAAAGCTTGAATAATGCCTCTCCCAACTATTGCCAGAAAATCTTGCTGCTTGTATATTCCCTAGACCCTTGTAGCTATGACAGCTACAGTTTTTTATCCAGTCATTAAGGACTTCAATGTTCATCCCTAGAATCTGGAGAGAGCACTTTAATAGGCACTATAGATGTTTAAACACCAACAACTTGAGATTTCAGAGTTTATAAAGCAGTACCTGTCCTTTGCTTCTGCAGGACTAGGACTGCTTGTGCCTTCCATAGCATTCCTTCAGCTGCATAAGAGGTATTCAAATCTAGTCTCTTTATCTACCAAAAGTGCAAAAGTCCAACGGCCAGAATGAAAATAAGCAAGAGGGAGACCGTCTGTCGGCCAAGAGTTAAGGCTAGAAGAAGGAGGACCTGGGTTCTGAGCCCTGTTTTTGATGCATTTTGTATGAGTCATTGGAGATATATATATTTTTTTAAAGTAACTCGGAGAACTGCCTACGAGCTGATCCATCTCAGTTTTGGACTACTGTGCATGGAGTTTGGTGCTCAGCTGCTCAAAGCAGGGTGCTCCTTCACACAGGCAGGTGTTGAAGTTTGAGATGTCAAAGAAACTGTCAGGAGCAAAATGTAGAGTGAATTTGGTGCCTAATGGGTTTGGCAGCCCATGGATTGCTTGGTGGACTTAAGTGTCTAGATTCTACCTAAGTCCACATTTAGCTTCATACAGTACCCTTACGGATCTTGTCCTAAGCTAACACTGTGCATTTGAGAGCGAACCATGAAGCCCTAGAGACTCCTGACCTTTGTCTTTGCACTTTGTAAGATCGTAGGGCTGAAAGGGACCTCCATAGGTTATCTTGTCCAACCCCCTGCATGAGGCATGATCATTCCTATCCACATCATCCTATACAAATCCATTG